TTCCTCTCCAAAAGCAAACAGTCTCAGCTTGCAACCTCGGTTTCTTCGTTCACAAAATGGAGATTACTATCTCTATCTGATAGTTGTGAGGATAAAGTATGTGGAGACAATTTGAAACCTGCGGAGTGCTATTTGATTAGTAGATATTATAGTGAAAGTAAATACCTAGTATATTACCTTCAGTATAAATTACCCAAGTGATCTGGGACTATGACCTCTTTCTGGCCTGAACTTTAGTAAAACTTGAGCTGCTGTCTCCCAGAGGGTGAGGGAGGGCTTTCAATACAGGTAATGGATGATAGAGTTTACTATAACTGGCCTCGCTTTTACTTGCTGCGTATCCAAAACTGGTTCTGTTCTATCCATAATCTTATATGCCTTTCCTATAAATTTCCCGGGGGCACTCCAATCTCTCTGTAGATTACCCTGAAAACTTTTAGGACATAACCAAAGTCCATCTATCTTTTTGGGTTTCTATTGCCAGATCCATCTAGAATCAAGAAGGTCTGCAAGACCTCACAAGAATCCGTTTGATCAGCACTAAGGAATTTGTCAAAACAATGGTCATTTTAAATTGGATTTTTAAAATAAACTCATTAGACATTTTATAGTATTGACCATTCCCTCATTCCTGATATTCTCCTTCCTGAGTTTTCCTGACTCCAGGCTCCTTGGATTTTTCTACTGTCACTATGTGAGAGGCAAAAGCAATACAACATAGTATGAGTTCCATCAGTCACAGATTTGAATCCTGGATCTACTGTTCACTGAAGCCTTGGACCAGTGATAGAATACTGATAAGCCTTGGACCAGTGATAGAATACTGATAAGCCAAGTAATGTGAAGATAATAACAATACCTACCTTTTAGGTATACCATAGGATGGTTGTGAGAATTTTAAGAGAAATAGTTCATGTTAGGGTTTGGCCTATCATGAACACTGAACAAATAATTAACTCTCTCACGGCCTCCTCTACCTCCTACACTGCACTTTCCCTTCCTTCTGTGTGGGGTGCTATCCAGAGTTATGTGCTTAGAGATCTTCTCCCGGAATGAGATGTGCAGCCTCCACTACCAACTGAACACACATGGCTCCCTTCCTATCTTCAGCCTTTATCTCTCTTCCTTACATATTTCTTTTTTTTTTTGAGATGGAGTCTCGCTCTGCTGCCCAGGCTGGAGTGCAGTGGCGCAATCTTGGCTTACTGCAACCTCCGCCTCCTGGATTCACGCCATTCTCCTGCCTCAGCCTCCCGAGTTGCTGGGACTACAGGTGACCGCCACCATGCCTGGCTAATTTTTTTTTTTTTTTTGTATTTTTAGTAGAGACAGAGTTTCACTGTGTTAGCCAGGATGGTCTTGATCTCCTGACCTTGTGATCCACCTGCCTTGGCCTCCCAAAGTGCTGGGATTACAGGCATGAGCCACCACACCCGGCCTCTTCTGTACATATTTTTTACCAGCTTCTGAACATCTGCACCTTGCTGTCCACGATGCTGACATCTCATACTTGACATGTCGAAAACTGAAGTTTCCCCTAAGACTCATTTTTTTCCCATGTCTGCCTTTCCTTTTCAATGTCATCACCATCCACTGAGTTATCCAAATCAGAAATGCTGAAGTCAGCTTAACTCCTCCTCACTCATTTCTCCCTCCTGATTGGTTTTGATTGCAGAAGCTTGGCATCATCTGCCCAGAATCTTCTTTCTCTGCCACAAGGGCAAATTTGACAGCCACCATGTTACAGCAATGGGACCCTGTATCTCATTTGAATGAATTGATCCAGAAGTTGACACCTGATGCCTGCTGGCTTTTGGACTTGGGACCATAGGAAACTTAAGTCCATTTGATTTAATAGCGGAAGCTGTAAGGTACAAGTGTGGGGCCATTAGTGGCCATGTTTCCCACCCCCTGAAGAAAATTAATCTCTAGCGAGGTAAAATGACTCTCACAGCAAGAGAGGAGACAGAGAAGAGAGAGGACCTAGACATATCAAAGTGCCTGGTTGTTCTTGAGACCCATGTGTCTCCTTCTTCCTCCTGAAATTTGACCGTTCAACAACAAGTTAAGTTCAGAATTATTAAAGCTTAGAGTGCGAGTGTTGGAAAGTTATAGCTGAGATTCGAGAGGTGAGATGTAGATAACCTATAATGCAGAGTCCAAAACTGTTGAAGAGTTTGGACTTTATCGTCACAGCAATTGTGAAGAAATTCAAAGATTTTAAATGATGTTTGAAAAGTAATTGAAAAGATCACTTTGGGCACGTTGTGGAAAGGGGATAAGGAGTAGCGGTTTGAAGGGCAAAACTCACAGCAAGAAGATCTGTTAGGAGGTTGCGATAATGCAGGGGAGAAATGATAGCAGTAAGGACTGAGGAGATGGCATGTGTTGAAGCAAAACAAAACATTCACCGGATTGGACTATCTTTGTCCATTCAGGCCACTATAGCAACATATCATATACTGGGTGGCTTATAAACAACCACAATTTATTTCTCACAGTTCTGGAGGCTGGGCAGTTCAAGATCAGGGTGCTGGCATGGTTGGGTTCTGGTGAGGGTCCTCTTTTGAGTTGCAACAGCTCACTTTTTGCTAGGTCCTCATATGGCAGAAGGAGCAAAAGAGCTCCCTTCAACATCCTTTATAAGGGTACTAAGTCCATTCATGAGGGAGGAGCTGTCATGATATAATCACTCCCCAAAGGCCACACCTCTTAATAGCATTACCTTGGTGGTTAGGATTTCACCTAATGTAAATATCAGAAAAAATAGAGAAAAAAAACAAACATTCAGACCATATCCTGGATCTTCTTGGAAACTGGAACTAAGTAATGGAAACTGCTTTGTCATGTCCCCAAGGGCACTGCTGTTGGAGTTGCTGACTGTCTCTTTTATAAGATTATTTTGGGCTCAGTACAGTTGCAGTAAACCTTCCTAATCTATTTCTTCTTGTTCCTACCTTGTATGGGTTGCTGGATCTCCAAGTACTGTTCCAATGCAAGTAAGATGAAGATGTGGGTGAGGGTCATGGGAAGAGAAAGGACATTTAATAAATACTAGTCATTATCCTCATAATTTCTAAGAGTAATCAGTCATAGTGTTATAACAATTTAAAAGAGCAATTAGGGGCTGCGCCTGGTAGCTTACGCCTGTAATCTTAGCACTTTGGGAGGCCAAGGCAGGTGGATTGCCTGAGCTCAGGAGTTTGAGACCAGCCTGGGCAACAACATGGCGAAACCCCATCTCTACTAAAAATACAAAAAATTAGCCGGGCATGGTGGTGCACACCTGTAGTCCCAGCTTCTCCGGGAGGCTGAGGCACAAGAATCACTTGAACCTGGGAAGCATAGGTTGCAGTGAGCCAAGATCACCCCACTGCACTCCAGCCTGGGCAGCAGAGCAAGACTCTGTCTCAAAAAACAAACAAACACAAAAAGGAGCAATTAGGGAAGCACATATTTTGTAGAGAAAACATCACATATTAACATAAATTAATGAATGGAGAGACAACACTTGAACTTCTGTGTGCCAAGACCAGCTGGGTCGGGGAGACCTTAACCCAGCAGCGCTAGAGGAATGAAAGACACACACACAGAAATATAGAGGTGTGGAGTGGGAAATCAGAGGCTCACAGCCTTCAGAGCTGACAGCCTCGAACAGAGATTTACCCACATATTTATTAACAGCAAGCCAGTGATAAGCATTGTTTCTATAGATTATAGATTAACTAAAAGTATTCCTTATGGGAAACAAAGGGATGGGCCAAAATAAAGGGATGGGTCTGGCTAGTTATCTGCAGGAGAAGCATGTCCTTAAGGCACAGATGGCTCATGCTATTGTTTGTGGTTTAAGACTGCCTTTAAGCGGTTTTCCACCCTGGGTGGGCCAGGTGTTCCTTGCCCTCATTCTAGTAAACCCACAACCTGCCAGCGTGGGCATCATGGCCAACATGGACATGTCATAGTGATGCAGATATTTTGTCCGTGGCCAGTTTTGGGGCCAGTTTATGGCCAGATTTGGGGGTGGGGGTGCTATTCCCAACCTGTCCCCCTTCTTTGATTTGCAAAGCAATAAAAGTAAAGGCAGCTTTGTCACGGTGAGCTACTTCTTGCAGGAGTCAGAATCTGTATCTGCACACTATACAAAGACAAACAACATAGATTAAAAGCACAATTACCATTGAAATCACAGAGCTTCCAAGTGTTTTTATCCGTTTTAATGGGTTATTAGCGGCTAATCTGTCTGCAGCTCCTTCAAGCACTCCAGTTCCTGGCATTAAGGTCAGGTGTGCCTGGGATGCTTTAAATATTTGTTCTTTTAATTTTGTAATATCCAAAGACAAGTTTGTAGAGTGTCTTTCTAGATGCTTTTTTGTTCTTTCCTAAATTTTGATCTTATTAAGAGCTATCAATAGTTTCCACAAATCCTGATGTTTAGCTCCCACAACAGGCCATATCATTTGAGGTTGAAGTGAAGCTATACTGCCATGGTTCCAGACAATAGGAACTCTTGCCTTACTTTTTATCATTTCTACCATCTGACCATTTTGTTCAGACCAGCTGAACATAGTGTGGCCGGGGCACACAGACTGAGAGGTGCAATTCAAGCTAAACATCCCCTTAGGGGACCAATCAATAGTGATTCCGTAGGAAACATTGCGCAGCACCTCTGCCTGTTCTGCAGTGCAACCTTCCTAAATAAGTATGTTCATTTTTTCTGACCAGGTTCAATTTTGTTTACAAACAGGTTTTTGAGGGCGGTATGCCTCAATTATAGGAGCAGATTTATTATGGTAAATACTGAGATTAGAAAGCCTGTATAACTGTGTCATAGAGTGATTACATCCAGGCATTGTTGCCAGCCAAGATTGAGAAATATGCCCAATAAGTATAATTGTTCTCTGTGTCAGCCCTTGTTGAAGGAATACTCATGGCAGTGGTGATCACCGCTATCAGAGCTACCATTAAATTACCCATTGTGACTGTTGTCCTGCTTTCCTCAGGTTTTCTTCTGCCGTCTGTGACAGCTTCTTGATCTGTCCCCAGGTGGGTGACTCTGTTCAATGGGTGTTGCTTGTGACAGCTGGGGTCCTTCTCAGTGTCAGTCTCCACATGGCTGCAACTGAGGGGTCCCCAGAATCCTCCTGGAATCCCTTCCTGAGCATCTGGATCATGATAAGGTTTCATGTGTCTTGATGATATCCAAATCGGCTGTTGATTTTGAGCTGGAGAAACACAAGCATAACCTCGACCCCAAGTTATTATTTTACCTATTTCCCAACTTTTTGTTGTCAGATCTCTCCACCAAACCAGTTCTTATGCTTCTGTCTTTGCAGCTGGTTTCTGTAGATTCTGTTCAGCTGTTGATAACATCTGGCCTTTGGGCAGGCTCAAAAAATTTAAAGTTAATAATGCTGGATTCAATTGTGTATCGGCTATCCCGTAATCCCTATTTCCCTCCCTTTTTGTTTTTGTCATCAGTTGTTTATCTGTATGAAATAGCAACTGAGCATTTTTAATTAACTATGTGGAATGAACCACGTATGAAGAATCAGAAATCACATTAATAGGCATATTAAAAGCAGTCGATACCTCAATTACAGCTACAAGCTCCACTTTTTGAGCTGAAGTATAGGGTGTCTGGAAAACTTTACTCTTCGAACCAGAATAAGAAGCTTTACCATTACTAGACCCATCTGTAAAACAATGAAAATGCTTAGCAGGCTGCAGGTTGTTTACTGCAGGAACTGTAAATGCAAACTGTTCACAGTCTTGCTCAGCTAAAGAGATAGTAAAGAAACAGTCTTTTAAATCTATGACTATTAAAGGCCAATTTTAAGTCCTCTAAAGCCTCCAGTTTCTCTTTACTCAACGGCCATTGTTCTATCCAAATTGGCTTATCTGGTAACCATTTTAAAGGTATAGGTTCTGGAGGCTTAACAATGGCTGCCGTCAAAAATGATATCCTAAACCTTGGCGGGAACGTTGTCTTTCCATTTGAAGCAGTTCCTTTAAACCGTGCAAATTTTTTTCTAGTCTCATACCAGGGACATATCCCATTTCATGCGTCATATGTTGACTTCGAGGGCTGTGTAATTGTTCTGGAATTAGAACTTGTGCTCCTCATTATTGTAATAAATCTCTCCCCCATAAATTTATAGGTGCAGAAGTTATAATTGGTTGAATAGTCCCAGGTTGTCCATCGGGCCCTTCACAATGCAAAATGTAACTATTTTGATATACTTCAGGGGCTTTACCAACTCCAACTATGTTAAATTGAGCAGGTTGAATTGGCCACATGGACAGCCAGTGCTGTAGAGAATTGATTGTATCTACCAAACCTTTAAATTTCTTTCCCTGAATAGTTATTTCACAGGTAGGACATTTATCAGTAATTTGGTTCACCCAATAAGCTGCTTTGCCTTGTTTATTTGTGCTTCCAAATCCCCTTGTTCATTTAATTTTGCTTTTCCCTCTTTCCACATATGGCACAATCAGGAGCTGTGCTATGTGCTCTCCTGGCTCTGTTTTCCAGGGAACAGAAGTAGATATAACAATTTGAATTTCCCGATTGTAATCTGAATCAATGACTCCTGTATGTATTTGTACCCCTTCTAAATTTAAACTAGACCTTCCTAGAAGTAATCTTGTCATCCCTGCTGGCAAGGGTCCACAGACTCCTCTTGGGACCTTTTGCGGGGGTTCCCCAGGCAGAAGGATGACAGCTTTTGTGCAGCATAAATCTACTGCAGCACTACTGGCTGTGGCAGGGGACAGACATTGTACAGGGGTGAGGGAATGGCCTGAGCTGGAAATGCCCCGGTTTGGAACAGGGCCCAAGATGGGCCCCACATGGCATTTCCTGAATTTAAAAGGAAAAGGCTCAAATGTAGCTATAGTATTTCCCTGTTGATCAGGTGGGTGTATTCTAACAGGGAACTGCTGAGCCTCTAAATCACCTTCTCGTCTAGCTTGCTGATTTCTTGCCTGAATAGAACTGAGAGCGGTCGCTTGAGGCTCTGCTTGAACACTCACTGGGGCAGCTACTTTTTGCCCAGTGTCCTCCAGAAAAGAAAGATCTGGAGGATCAGGCTACTCTTTTTCTTTGAAATAATAATGAGGGGATGCAGAAGGGTAGGGATGAAACATCCCCTTAGGGGACCAAGGGCAAGACTCTGTCTCAAAAAACAGACAAACAGGCCGGGCGCGGTGGCTCAAGCCTGTAATCCCAGCACTTTGGGAGGCCGAGACGGGCGGATCATGAGGTCAGGAGCATCGACGAACCCATCCCCCCCCTGGCTAACAACGGTGAAACCCCCGTCTGCCTACTCAAAAAATACAAAAACTAGCGCCGGGCCGCACGGTTCGGGCTCAAGCTTGTAATCTAGCCACCTTTGGGAGCCGAGACGGCGGATCAACAACGTCAAGGGGATCGAGACCTGTCCTGGCTCTAAAAAAAACGGTGAACCCCGGTCTCTCACTAAAAAATACCAAAAAAACTAGCAGGTGGAGGCCGGGCGGCGCGCCTGTAGTCCCAGCTACTCCGGGAGGCTGAGGCAGGGAGAATGGCCCTGAACCCGGGAGGCAGAGCTTGCAGTGAGCTTGAGATCCAGCCACTGCACTCCAGCCTGGGCAACAGAGCAAAGACTCCGTCTCAAAAAAAAACAAAAAAAAAACTAGCCGGGCGTGGTGGCAGGCGCCTGTAGCTCCCAGCTACTTGGGAGGCTGAGCCAGGAGAAGGGCGTGAAACCCGGGAAGGTGGAGCTTGCAGTGAGCTGAGGGATCCGCCCATTGCACTCCAGCCCTGGGCGGCAGAGCGAGACTCATCTCAAAAAAAAACAAAAAAAAACAGACCAACACACAAAGGAGCAAATTAGGAAGCACATCTAGAGCACCCACACCCCAACTCCACCCACCACCTTCCACTCTCCACCCACCATACAATTAACGAATGGAGAGACAACACTTGCCAACTTCCACTCCAAGAAACCAGCTGGGTCCGGGGGAGACCCTAACCCAGCAGTGCTAGAGGAATTAAAGACACACACACAGAAATATAGAGGTGTGGAGTGGGAAATCAGGGGTCTCACAGCCTTCAGAGCCGACAGCCTCGAACAGAGATTTATCCATGTATTTAAAGATATACCCATCATTAAATAAATAATTAAAGAGTTACCCATGTTTGCCAGCTAAAGCAAGGTGAAATAAACAGCCTTGTTGCTCACACAGAACCTGTTTGGTGGTCTCTTCACACGGATGCGCGAGACATTTGGTGCCAAAGACCCGGGTCAGAGGGACTCCTTCGGGGGACCAGTTCCCTGTCTTCACCCTTGCTCTATGAAGAGATCCACCTATGACGTCAGGTCCTCAAACCAACCAACCCAAGGAACATCTCACCGATTTCAAATCGGGTAAGTGGTCTTTTCACTCTCTTCTCCAGCCTCTCTCGCTACCCTTCAATCTTCCTCTCTCACTACACTTCAATCTGCCTGTCCTTCCAATTCCAGTTCTTTTTCCTCTCTAGTAGAGACAAAGGAGACACATTTTATCCTTGGACCCAAAACTCCGGCGCCGGTCACGGACTCGGGAAGACAGCCTTTCCTTGGTGTTTAATCATTGCAGGGACGCCTTCCTGATTGTTCACCCATACTGCGTTGGTGTCTGACCACCGTGGGGACGCCTGCCTTGGTCATTCACCCACATTCCCTTGGTGGCAAGTCAATTGCGGGGACGCCTGCTTTGGCTGCTCACCCACATTGCAGCCCAGGGCTGCTCCCCACCTCCCTTCTCCCTGTCTCTACCCTTCTCTTTAAACTTGCCTCCTTCACCATGGGCAACCTTCCACCCTCCATTCCTCTTTCTTCTCCCTTAGCCTGCGTTCTCAAGAACTTAAAACCTCTTCAACTCTCGCCTGACCTAAAACCTAAGCGTCTTATTTTCTTCTACAACACCGCTTGGCCCTAATACAAACTTGTCAATAGCTCTAAATGGCCAGAAAACAGCACTTTTGATTTCTCCATCCTACGAGACCTAGATAATTTTTGTCGAAAAATGGGCAAATGGTCTGAGGTGCCTGGCGTCCAGGCCTTCTTTCACATATTGGTCCCTCCCTAGTCTCTGCTTCCAGTGTGATTTGTCCCAAATCTTTCTGCTTTCTCTCCTGTCTGTTCCTTCAGTCTCCACCCCAAGCTCTGAGTCCTTTGAATCCTTCTTTTCTCCAGACTCATCTGACCTCTCCCCTTCTCCCAGGCTGCTCCTCACCAGGCCAAGCCAGATCCCAATTCGTCCTCAGCCTCTGCTGCCCCACCCTATAATCCTTCCATCACCTCCGCTCCTCACACCCGGTCTGGCTTACAGTTTCGTTCCGCGACTGGTCCTCCTCCACCTGCCCAACTATTTCCTCTTAAAGAGGTGGCTGGAGCTGAAGGCATAGTCAGGGTACGTGTGCCTTTTTCTCTATCAGACCTTTCCCAAATCAGCCAGCCTTTAGGCTCTTTCTCATCAGACCCCACTAAATAGATACAGGAATTCCTATATCTAACTCTGTCCTATAATTTAACCTAGAGTGACTTAAATGTCATCCTGACTTCTACCCTTTCCCCAGATGAACGGGAAAGAGCTTTTTCTCTAGCCCAGTCTCACACTGATAACTGCCAGCTTCATGAGCCAGACCTCCAGGAAGGCATTAGAGCAGTTTCTCCAAGAAGATTCCCAATGGAACTATCAGACAGATTCCCCAGGTATAGCTAGGCAAGATTACATGGTTTCCTGCCTAGCTGAAGGGCTTAAAAAGGCAGCTTACAAAGCTGTTAATTACAACAAACTTAAAGAAACTACCCAAGGTAAAGACAAAAACCCAGCCCAGTTCATGGCCCGCTTAGCAGCAACCCTTAGACGCTTCACTGCCCTAGACCCAGCGGGGCCAGAAGGCCGCCTTATTCTTAATATGCATTTTATCACCCAGTCAGCTCCTGACATTAGAAAAAAGCTTCAAAAATTGGAATCCGGCCCTCATACCCCACAACAGAAATTAATCAATTTCGCCCTCAAGGTGTACAATAATAGAGAGGAGGTAGCCAGACAGCAATGCATTTCTGAGTTACAGCTACTTGCTTCCGCTGTAAGACAATCCACAACCACGTCTCTAGCATACAAGAGCTTCAGAACATCTAAGCCACAGCTCCCAGGGGCTCGTTCAAAACATCTCCGTGGACCTTGCTTCAAATGCCAAAAGCCTGGCCACTGGGCCTCAGAATGCCTGCAGCCCAGGATTCCTCCTAAGCGGTGCCCTGTCTGTGCAGGCCCCCACTGGAGGTCGGACTGTCCAACTCACATCACCGCCACTCCTAAAGCCCCTGGAGCCCAAACCCAACCTTCCTCGGCTGACTCCTTCCCAGATCTCCTCTGCTTAGCAGCTGAAGACTGCCTGATCGCCTCGGAAGCTCCCTGGACCATCACGGATGCCGAGTTTCGGGTAACTCTTACAGTGGAGGGTAAGTCTGTCCCCTGTTTAATCCATACAGAGGCTACCCACTCCACATTACCTTCTTTTCAAGGGCCTGTTTCCTTTGCCTCCATAACTGTTGTGGGTATTGATGGCCAGGCTGCTAAACCTCTTAAAACTCCCCAACTCTGATGCCAACTTGGACAACATTCTTTTCTGCACTCCTTTTTAGTTATCCCCACCTGCCCAGCTCCCTTATTAGGTTGAGACATTTTAACTAAATTATCTGCTTCCCTGACTATTCCTGGGCTACAGCCACACCTCAGTGCCTCCTTTTCCCCCAGTTCAAAGCCTCCTTCGCATCCTCCCCTTGTATTTCCCTGCCTTAATCCACAAGCATAGGACACCTCTACTCCCTCCTTGGCGATGAATGGTGCACCCCTTACCATCCCATTAAAACCTAATCACCCAGGCCGGGTGCGGTGGCTCAAACCTGTAATCCCAGCACTTTGGGAGGCCGAGACCGGTGGATCATGAGGTCAGGAGATCGAGACCATCCTGGCTAACATGGTGAAACCCCGTCTCTACTAAAAAATACAAAAAAAACTAGCCAGGCGAGGTGGTGGGCGCCTGTAGTCCCAGCTACTCAGGAGGCTGAGGCAGGAGAATGGCGTAAACCCAGGAAGCAGAGCTTGCAGTGAGCCGAGATCCGGCCACTGCACTCCAGCCTGGGCAACAGAGCGAGACTCCGTCTCAAAAAAAAAAACCTAATCACTCTTACCCTGCTCAATGCCAATATCCCATCCCACAGCATGCTTTAAAAGGATTAAAGCCTGTTATCACTCACATGTTACCGCATGGCCTTTTAAAGCCTATAAACTCTCCCTACAATTCTGCCATTTTACCTGTCCAAAAGCTGGACAAAGCCTTACAGGATCTGCGCCTTATCATCCAAACTGTCTTGCCTATCCACCCCGTGGTGCCAAAGCCATGTACTCTCCTGAAGGGGGTGGCCTGCCCCTCCACACCTGTGGGCGTTTCTCATTAGGTGGAACAAGAGACTTGAGAAAAGAAGTGAGACACAGAGACAAAGTATAGAGAAAGAAAAAGTGGGCCCAGGGGACCGGTGCTCAGCATACAGAGGACCCGCGACAGCACCAGTCTCTGAGTTCCCTCAGTATTTATTGATCATTATCTTTATCATCTTTGAAAAGGGAAGTGGCAGGATAATAGGATCATCGTAGGGAGAATGTCAGCAGTAAGACATATGAATAAAGATCTCTGTGACATAAGTTCAAGGAAAAGTGCTGTGCCTTGATATGCATTTGCAAACATCTCCATAAACCTTTTTAGTGCATAAAGAGCAGCATTGCTGCTAGCACGTCCCACCTTCAGCCCTAAGTTGGTTTTCTCCCATCTCAGTAAATAGAACATACAATTGGATTTTACATTGAGATGTTCCATTGCCCAGGGACAGGCAGGAGACAGATGCTTTTCTCTATCTCAACTGCCAAGAGGCCTTCTTTCCTCTTTTACTAATCCTCCTCAGCACAGACCCTCCACGGGTGTCAGACTGGGGGACGATCAGGTCTTTCCCTTCCCACGAGGCCATATTTCAGACTACCACATGGGGAGAAACCTTGGACAATACCTAGCTTTCCTAGGCAGAGGTCCCTGTGACCTTCCGCAGTGTATGTGTCCCTGGGTACTTGAGATTAACAGAATGGTGGTGACTTTTCACAAGCATACTGCCTTCAGGCACTTGTTTAACAAAGCACACCCTGCACAGCCCGAAATCCTTTAAATCTTGAGTCACCACAGCACATGTCTCTTGCAAGGACAGGGTTGGGGGTAGGGTCACAGATTAACAGCATCTCAAATACAGAACAAAATGGAGTCTCTTATGTCTACTTCTTTCTATATAGACACAGTAACAGTCTGATCTCTCTTTCCTTTCCCCACACTCTTCTATCCTCAATACCTCCCTCCACAACCCATTATTCTGTTCTGGATCTCATGCTTTCTTTGCTCTTCCTTTGTACCCTTCATCCCAGCCTCTCTTTGCTTTCACTTGGACTGACCATGACACCCATCAGGCTCAGCAAATTACCTGGGCTGTACTGCCGCAAGGCTTCACAGACAGCCCCCCATTACTTCAGTCAAGCCCAAATTTCTTCCTCATCTGTTTCCTATCTTGACATAATTCTTAATGAAAACACATGTGCTCTCCCTGCCGATCATGTCTGACTGATCTCTAAAACCCCAACCCCTTCTACAAAACAACAACTCCTTTCCTTCCTAGGCATGGTTGGGTACTTTCACCTTTGGATACCTGGTTTTGCCATCCTAACGAAACCATTATATAACTCACAAAAGGAAACCTAGCTGACGTCATAGATCCTAAATCCTTTCCCCACTCCTCTTTCCGTTCCTTGAAGACAGCTTTAGAGACTGCCCCCACACTAGCTCTCCCTGACTCATCCCAACGCTTTTCACCACACACAGCCGAAGTGCAGGGCTGTGCAGTCGGAATTCTTACACAAGGACCAGGACTGTGCCCTGTAACCTTTTTGTCCAAACAACTTGACCTTACTGTTTTAGACTGGCCATCATGTCTCCATGTGGCAGCTGCTGCCACCCTAATACTTTTAGAGGCCCTCAAAATCACAAACTATGCTCAACTCACCCTCTACAGTTCTCATAACTTCCAAAATCTATTTTCTTCCTCACACCTGACACATATACTTTCTGCTCCCGGCTTCTTCAGCTGTACTCACTCTTTGTTGAGTCTCCCACAGTTACCATTGTTCCTGGCCTGGACTTCAATGCGGCCTCCCACATTATTTCTGATACCACACCTGACCCCCATGACTGTATCTTTCTGATATACCTGACCTTCACTCCATTTCCCCATATTTCCTTCTTTCTTGTTCCTCACCCTGATTACACTTTGTTTATTGATGGCAGTTTCACCAGGCTTAATCGCCACACACCAGCAAAGGCAGGCTATGCTATAGTATCTTCCACATCTATCATTGAGGCTAGCGTTCTGCCCCACTCCACTACCTCTCCACAACTCAAACTCATTGCCTTAACTTGGGCCCTTACTCTTGCAAAGGAATTATGCATCAATATTTATACTGACTCTAAATATGCCTTCCATATCCTGCACCACCACGCTGTTATATGGGCTGAAAGAGGTTTCCTCATGACACAAGGCTCTTCCATCATTAATGCCTCTTTAATAAAAACTCTTCTCAAGGCCACTTTACTTCCAAAGGAAGCTGGAGTCATACACAGCAAGGGCCATCAAAAGACATCAGATTCCATCGCTCAGGGCAATGCTTATGCTGATAAGGTAGCTAAGGAAGCAGCTAGCATTCCAACTTCTGTCCCTCATGGCCAATTTTTCTCCTTCTTATCAGTCACTCCTGCCTACTCTCCCACTGAAACTTCCACCTATCAGTCTCTTCCCACACAAGGCAAATGGTTCTTGGACCAAGGAAAATATCTCCTTCCAGCCTCACAGGCCTATTCTATTCTGTCATCATTTCATAACCTCTTCCATGTAGGTTACAAACTGCTAGCCCACCTCTTAGAACCTCTCATTTCCTTTCCATCATGGAAATCTATCCTTAAGAAAATCACTTCTCAGTGTTCCATCTGCTATTCTACTACTCCTCAGGGATTGTTCAGGGCCCCTCCCTTCCCTACACATCAAGCTCGGGGATTTGCCCCTGCCCAGGACTGGCAAATTGACTTTACTCACATGCCCCGGGTCAGGAAACTGAAATACCTCTTGGTCCGGGTAGACACTTTCACTGAATAGGTAGAGGCCTTTCCTACAGTGTCTGAGAAGGCCACCTTGGTCATTTCTTCCCTTTTATCAGAATAATTCCTCAGTTTGGCCTTCCCACTTCTATACAGTCTGATAACAGACCAGCCTTTCTTAGTCAAATCACCCAAGCAGTTTCTCAGGCTCTTGCTATTCAGTAAAACCTTCATACCCCTTACCATCCTCAATCTTCAGGAAAGGTAGGATGGACTAATGGTCTTTTAAAAACCCACCTCACCAAGCTCAGCCTTCAACTTAAAAAAGAGGATTCTGTCAAGAATAGAGCCCAAAGACTCACCAACCAAACAAGTAATTATGCTAAACCCCCTTGGGCACTCTCTAATTGGACGTCCTGGGTCCTCCCAATTCTTAGTCCTTTAATACTTGTTTTTCTCCTTCTCTTAATTCGGACCTTGTGTCTTTCATTTAGTTTCTCAATTCATATAAAACCGCATTCAGGCCATCACCAATAATTCTATATGACAAATGCTCCTTCTAACAACCCCACAATATCACCCCTTACCCCAAAATCTTTCTTCAGTTGAATCTCTCCCACTGTAAGTACCATGCCGCCCCTAATTCCACTCGAAGCAGCCCTGAGAAACATCGCCCATTATCTCTCCATACCACCCCCCAAAATTTTTGCTGCCCCAACACTTCAACACTATTTTATGTTATTTTTCTTACTAATATGAGAAGACAGGAATGTCAGGCCTCTGAGCCCAAGCTAAGCCATCATATCCCCTGTGACCTGCACGTATACATCCAGATGGCCTGAAGCAACTGAAGATCCACAAAAGAAGTGAAAATAGTCTTAACTGATGACATTCCACTATTGTAATTTGTTTCTGCCCCACCCTAACTGATCAATGTACTTTGTAATCTCCCCCCCCCTTAAGAAGGTTCCTTGTAATTCTCCCCATCCTTGAGAATGTACTTTGTGAGATCCACCCCCTGCCCGGAAAACACTGCTCCTAACTCCACCGCCTATCCCAAAACCTATAAGAACTAATGATAATCCACCACCCTTTGCTGACTCTCTTTTCAGACTCAGCCCGCCTGCACCCTGGTGAAATAAACAGCCTTGTTGCTCATACAAAGCCTGTTTGGTGGTCTCTTCACACGGACATGTGAGACATTAACCAGAGCTGGTTGCTGTCAGTGGTGTGTGTTTATGTATGTGTGTGTGTGTGTGTGTGTGTGTGTGTGTGTGT